AAAGGCGCCAAGCTGCCACAAAGGTTCATAAGGAAATAGTGACATAGGACATTAAAAGTTTGCCTTGAAGAAGAAGCTTGCGAAGGTTCTTCAACGAGACACTCTAGTGCTACACTGATGGCACCAAGCTCTGCATTCATCGAAAAGGCCAAATGCGGTATCTGGAACTTTACGGGGACGGATTTCGCGTGCATAAGCAGTGCCGTTGCTGAGCTTGCAGAAGAAACAGAATCATCCCAGTAAATGTGAAGGCACTTGAAGTCCCGTGAGAGCATACACATGTGCCGGTGCTCTCCTTAGGATTAACTAAAAGAGCTGTCATTTTTTTTTTCTTTCTTGTCGGTGAGGGTGGAGCCTGGGGGCCGAAAAATATTGTATTCTACCACCTTTTTGGACGCTCAGTCATGTGTTTACGCAGGCATCGCATTCATCTTCAAGCACTTTTTATGTTCTTTTTCACCGTACGGCAGCGAAGTGTAGAAAAACAGGAAAGGTGGAGCTTTCCGGCTCTCTTTCTCTCGCATAAATATCCACGGCAGTTTGTATAAAGATTCAAGCCGGGCGTGTTTCTTCATTTCATGAAAACTACTTGCATGCCTACGTCAGCGCGAACTTTGTAATATGAAGAAGTAAACAAAAATGCCTAGGTGACCCACAATCTTTCTGTTTTAGGGGTGGAGTGCATTAGGGTCTAGGCTTGTCCGTCGTGCGTTGACCTTGTTCACGGTGACAATGACGGCGATGACACTCAAGACTACGTGCGTTCCTATCCAGACATTCTCGTTCTGCCAGTGAAAAAATTGGCCCCGTATCTGCATGTTATCTGCAAATGTTGTCGAAAGACGATAGACTTGCGTGTGGAGAGAGTGAACAAAACATTTATTTGATGTTCTGCGCAAGAGATCGGGGAATAATATTCTAGAGGCGCTGCGTTAGAGTGCCTCGAGCATGCAGCGGAGGCGACCGAGCGCATCAACTCACGTCACACGTGAGACGTGAGCGCTATCTGGCAGTTTTCTTGGAAAACGTAGCGCGTGGCTCTCAGACGGGCGTGCGCGCCCATCTCGGAGGTGATAAGGTGTAGAACGCAAGGCGACGGGTAGGTGCCACCACCGTGTCGTCTTTGCAAAGCGTTGGAAACACTCCACTTTTCGTGCAAGCATTGCATCGTCAGCGCAGCGTGTAAAGCGCTACGGCCCTTAGAATCACTTATGTATGCATTTTCTAGTAAAAGACGCACATACAGAATATATACGTGTTGTTATGAGGCCTCAGATATGCGCAATTATTTCTCTGTAATTGACAATCGCACAAGTATGATTGCTAAATTTTGAGCAACATTGGTGGGTGCTGCGGACGGGGTTGGTCGTTTGAAGTAGCGGCTGGTCCGTTCGGAGTACCCGGTACCGTTAAATGTGGGCAAACAGACAAATGTACAGACAGACAGACAGACAGACAGACAGACAGACAGACAGACAGACAGACAGACCAAAATTTTCGCGTCAAAGGCCCCCAGAAAGACTACCGTCTTCAAAACAAACGTGAACGTGCTCTCGCCAGCGAAAGGCAACACTGACGCAGACAACAAGGTACCCCCGAGGCGAGAGCTCTCGAAGCAGCGGCAGCGCCGCCAACAAATTGCTACTCTACTCTGGAGCTGAGCGCGCGGGAAGTGGCGGCTCGACGTCTACGCATGCAGGCAACAAGCTACCCCGGAAGCGAGAGATCGGGAAGCAGAGGCAAAGCGGCAACGCCTACAGCAAGCTGCTACCCCGAGTTGAAGGAGTGGGAAGGGGCGGCTCAAAGAAAAAAAGAAAAACACATTGCATATATTTTACAAACGCATTGTCCCTCATTTATATGCTAAAGTGGACAATGTCCCGGCTTATTTATGGTAAGAAAGACCCTAGTACTGTGCCCGCTCGTCGGGATTCCCTTCGTGGAGATGCGTGGATTTTTTTTTTAACAAAGGCTCAGTAGCTCGAGCGCAAAAAAGTTCCCGCTTCGATAACTTTTTTATGCAGCATCCCATAATGCAATCTCGCCGGCCGTTCATGTTACTACCGCGGCATCAAAAGGCTTCGTTCAATCCTGTTAAGTAGCCTATGCTTTACATTAAAATGCGGTACACTTGTCGCAGTTGTTCTCAGTACAGAACGCATGTTTCATACGAAAATAGCGATTGCCATCAGCGCGAAGCGAGGACCTCGACAGAGTTTATTTAGCATGACGGCTTTTGGCTGCTTTCGCTGTCCCAGAGTCAACACTAAAGGCGCTGTAGTTATTTGCTTCATCGTTTTGTCTCTCGTATAATAAAAGACCTGCAAGAGGTAACATGCATCAGGATATCACCAAGAAACGCGCATCAGGTGTCACACACACATTCTTCAGAGATGAAAGTGCACTTAGACGGTCTCGCGTAATCTTCCCCGTGAGCCCCAATATCCACTCCAATATATACGGCATCGGTATGTCATGAGCGTTCACTCGCAAAAACGGCAGTGGCGCGCTTCACAGCGACAAGCAATATACAATCACACCAATTAATTACACAACACGAGGCATTGTTTTCCAGAGTTTACGCCGTACTCGGCACGTTGATTAAGCGGGTCCCTGTCTTACCACGGCCTTCATGTAAAAAGATGGTATCATGGCAACTTCCATTTTATGGTTTAAATAAAGTACTTATGAGCAAGTAATTAAATGGGGCCTGTAACTTTGTCGTTCATTGAGCGTTAAACATGGTCGCCGACGTGGCGTTGATTACTCCCATGCCTCCACCTGCAGGCACATACATCGTACTAGACAAAGGCAGTGCGCTACTTTCGCTTTCAAGTTTGCCGAATGATTTTAAATTAATCCTATATTCGTGTGACACTTCGGAGTAAAAAACCAATTCTCGCGGTAACGCGGCTGACTATAATCAGAAATAGTTGTCCCCTGTTACGCCTACAAAAATACATGAGGAAGCGCGTTTGTTTTTACAATGTGTCACAACACGCGTATGTTACACACACACTGCAAGCTGGGCATGAATTTTGCAGCCACACTGCAAAGAAAGATAATTAAAAATTCCTAAGCCAGTGCACGTCGACAAGAAACAAAAAGGAAATGGCGGGCTATCCGCGTAGCAACGCAACATTAAACTAAAATCCCGGGCCCCTCCTGTTGCCCGCCGAGGCATTATTGGAAAAGTGGAGGCGTCTATGCTTGTTCGAGGCACACGTGCTATAGCTGTGACGGTGCACAGTATCGTGCACAGCTACTCGCAGTTCCGCCTATGTGATGACGCAGCAGCTGCACACGCAATCCGTATAGACTTCCTGATTTGCAGAGCTTTCCGTGTCATTGCAGTGCTTACCCCAACCAACGTGACTTGTCTCGGTTATCTTGTAAAAGTGCTCTACACACGAATAGGACTGGCTTTCGAGGACAAGAACAGACACAGAGTGAATACTGAACGTGCATGATTTAACAATGTCCGCACGCTGGAGCATGAACACTCTAGTACACGGATAGGGTAGTAACGGTGGCCCAGTCCCAGACGGGTAGTGGAGGGCATTTGTCGAAGGAGATTGTGGTGCCCCATATTCCTTGGAAACCTGCCACTTTAACAAGAGCCACTCGACTTCGCAGACGCACGCCTATCATCAATCGACCAATTGGCTTTGGTAAGGCACGTATGTGCACACTATAGTGAACACACTAGTGGCATATATACATATATACATAATTATATATATATATATATATATATATATATATATATATATATATATATATATATATATATATATACACGGCTAGTAATAGTCCTCACGGAGATATGCTTTCACAAACGTCACTCGTGCCATTCATTCATCCCATATTTCACGCGCCTAGACACAGTGCAAAGTAACAGCGCTAATTCATCATTCATGCTAAGTGCGTCTACCTAGCACGCGCTAAGTTTCTTTGCAAAATGTCAAACAAGCTGTGGGCACAACTTCCGGCTTAGCTCAATGAGTTTCACATGAAGAAGAGAGGATTCATCGTTTCCATGCGCTCCAGCGCCGAGCTATGGCCACGCATCGTATTCAGTTTCTTAGGACACACAGGTTTGAGCGCCGAGACGTTTAAATATTTTGTTGAATGTGTCGAATATTGAAAACAGACTGAACACTTTTTTCTTTTGCATATTGCTCTGAAATAGACAAACCAATCACTTATTCCGCGCGGCCAACTTGTGCTTGAGCGTTCTCATTCACTGTCGTTCATCAAAGTTTCAATTAGTTTCTTCCGGACGTAGCTGCTTTTTCAAGGGAGCTACAAGTTACGTCTTACCAAGTTGTCGTCATTTAACAAATACTTGTAGGAAGAGCACTCAACTTCAGCACCTGTAACCTTTCCGATTATGCACTTCCTCTGATTTTTATAAAGACGTAGAATATCATACTCCTCTCCTATAATTTTTGCTGTACTGATAGTATCTCATGTTTCATTGTAAATAATTAGCTATCACCAGGAATCGGACTCAGCTAAGTAGCTCAAAATAGTCATAAAATACCAAGCCCGCCTCATCTGCCAACTTTGTTCTCCACAGACAGGATCAAATACAAGCTATCCGGATGAAGAGACAAGCTCTTTAACCAGTGTGCCAACGTTGTGGCAAGATTATCTTGTAGAAACATACATAATCTATAGCTTACTAGCTTGCATCGAAGGGTTCTGGTCCATTAGGCTGGTATTCACAGCTCTTACGTGAAATAGCAAAAACAAATAAACAAATGAAAACAAAAGACTACACTATCCCTTTCTCCTAAAGTAAATAAAACTTCATTAAAATAAATTTATATTTCCTTTCAGGCGAGTTCCGCAGCTTAGTGTGCTGCAATACAGCTTTGTTTTTATTTATTACGCCCACGAATGAATGCCCTGATCTCAGTCATTATTAGCTTTACAAGTACGGGTAAAGCAATTCACGCGTGGTTAGAAGAGCAAAAGGATGATGCAGTGCTTACACTTGCCGTTCGAATGATGTCATCGGTCTGCGTGTACATGGAGCTGACCAAGGTGGTCACAGCGCCACCAAGGTACAAGATGGCTCCGACGCCATGGTGCAGCAAATACTGCGCGAGACAGAGAAGTGCAACACCGTTAGTTTGTATACCTTCCGTGTGCCATATGGGTGGAAATGACACACTCGTCTTTATGGCAGCTTTAACAGAATATCTCTGGTTATGTCTTGTTGCTTTCTGATAGTGAAGATCATTCTGTGTGTGTGTACTTTCCCCGCTTGCAAAGACAATTAATAGGGGCGAATCTCGTTATGGTCTAGGGCAATCCTGCGTCTTTCCGACGGTGTAGCCAGCCCAGATATCCACAGACAGACAGACAGACAGACAGACAGACAGACAGACAGACAGACAGACAGACAGACAGACAGACAGACAGACAGACAGACAGACAGACAGACAGACAGACGGACGGACGGACGGACGGACGGGCGGGCGGGCGGACGGACGGGTGGGCGGACGGACGGGCGGATGGACGGAGGGGCGGATGGACGGACGGACGGACTCTTCACCCCACTCATCATCATTGACTCCGTGGATATAGTGCGTGGATATAGTGTGATGTTTGAAACATCCTGGCTTTTTCCGCAGAAATGGGCCACTGCGTTTAGTGAGGTGTAGTTAGCGGTGCATTTCCGAGGGTCTGAAATGACACTTAAAAGCTGCGTACTCCCTGTAAATTATTCTTGAGTGATTTATATTTTTTGTAAGTAAATTCTTGTCTAAATATGTGAAACGAAGCAGGACAACAACATGAAATGGTGTTTTTTTTTTTTTCGAGTGTTGCAGGTTCCCAGCCTGTCAAATAAGAAAATCCAGAGTATTACACCTCACGGTTATTGTAAACATTCATGCGATCAACAATAAAACAATGTATGCAAATCTTTTACTGCCACCGCATACGCAAAGTGGTGATCTCGTTGCCAACCACAACGCCAAATGATACCACGACACACTGTAACTTACAATCACTGCGTCCCAGTTCAAACCTTGTGCTATATACAATTCTGGCTACGACTTCGTTGCAGCCGCTCTCCACCAACGACAGTGTTCTAGGTGTATTTGTCTGTTGGGGATGGGGTGCTATCACTTTCGTTAGTGTTGCAGGCTATACAAAAATCATGTCTAACGTTGGCACATCCATCCTCCGAGATTGATTTTGAAGTGTCACATGCCAGAATCACTCACGTTAAGGCGAAGGTGTCTCCTCGGCAGGGCTGCAGATGGTATGTAGCTGTGGCCCACGCTAGTGGAATGTTGGCTGTGGATAATTGGCTCTTGGTCTTACCATATTGCCACGTGTGTTAATTTTATGCGCTCGGCTTAATGGACAAAGTCTGTCAGCAATGCTTGGCGCAGAACGCGCTCCATGCTTCGTTTTGTTAAGATCACACGCAGGACACGAACTTTGGAGCTGATTGCAGAGCTTGCGCCACCACCAGTGATGGGGCTAGAAACTTCATTGCGTGATGTGCAAAAACCGAATTGGGGCCCAACCCAGGGACGATCAGTTTCTCGACGACCGATGTTCCATGTGCCGATATCAGTGTACAGCTTGCATGGCTTGCTGCGATTTGAGTTTCCGTTTCGCGGCCACAAATTCAGGCAAATTTATTTTTTAAATGTGAGGAATTCCTTAGGGAACTTCGGCGACTTTGAGCGTATCTATCTATTAATCTAGCCGCCTACAACTTTTTTGCTCTCATGTCTTCCCCATGCTCTCTTTCCTCAGTACAGGGTAGCAAACCAAATGCTGCAATTTCTTATTAACCTCCCTGCCTTTCCCTCATTTTATTTTCTCTCTTTCATGGCCGTTTCGATAATGGTATCTATACCAAAATTTTATAGCATAACATGACTCTATGACGAGTGTAAGTGACTAGACATTGAATCAAGACATGTATGTTAGGCCTTATATGCCATGATCTTGCTGCCCTTGCGGTAGTTTCGTTCACATGAGATGCTCCAAAACTGGTATGGTAAGACATGCTTGCATGGCGAACATAAGTAGCAGGCCCTAACGTGGAAATTATGATTCATTTATTGATTGATTTATATGTGGAGTTAAACGCGCCCAAACCACCATATGATTATGAGAGACGCCGTAGCGGAGTGTTCCGGAAATTTCGATCTTCTGGGGTTCTTTGAAGTGCGCCCAAATTTAGCCACACGGGCCTACAGCATTTTCGCCTCCATCGAAAAGGCAGCCACCGCAGCCGGGGTTTGATCCCGTGACCTGCGGGTCAGCAGCCGAGTACTTTATCCACTAGACCATTGCGGTGGGGCTAATGTGTAAATCATGACATGGATGTCATGTAAGCCTTGACTACAAGCCATACGCGCTCATGGTGTACTCGCGGTCGTTTCGCTATAGCTTCCCATATACCAAATTTTGGTATTACGGGACGTGAATGGATGACGAAGGTATATGACTACTGAAAACACGAGAATCCTTACATGCGTGTGATGCAAGATGCCACGCTCATGATGCGCTTGCTGCAGTTTCACTAGTTTAACGTATATAAAATTGGATATTACGTGACGTTAATGAACTACGAAGGTAAATGACAGGTTCAAACGTTATAGTCTGATATGCGTATCATGTAAAACATCACTACACGCTACGTTAATTGTGTGCTCGCGGCCGTTTCGCCAGTTTCACATATGCCAAATTTGGTATTACGTGGCGTGAATGGACGACGAACACAAATGCCTGGCGCAAACATGATAATCATGACATGGAAGTCAAGTACGGCACAATTTAAATGCCTTCTACTGCTGCGGCTGGTATGGCAAACGTTAGTGGTGCCCATCGTTACGCGACTCTAAATAGCATACTTGCATCTTATTCGAATACTTTAGTGCGCATGATATTTATACTTGTGTTTACTGTGTATTACATCCATACACCTGGTAACGTTGAGTTGACATTAAAGTGACATAGAAACCTTGCTCATTCGGGCTTTGCATATTAGTGATTCCCACTATTCATTGGATCTGCCGATTTTTTTATATGTCGGTTCAATTTAAAGTCCAGTTCAAGTTTATTGCACCGCGCAGCTCTTTTCTTGCATTGTCCTAGGTACTCTCTTATTACAATTTTTTTTGTTTACGTGTATATGTCATTATTGAGTTGTGTAACTTTTCTTTCCAAAAAAGTTTATTTGTGTTTTCTATGATCACATTAGCTTATCTTGCTTGGCATGTCGATTAAAGTGTGTAATAAAATAAATTAATACATAACTACACAAAACGTAATGAAGTCAATATTTCTTAGCTGCTTTGAAATCAGTGATTTAAGTGCTGGTGCCTTCATGCAGCAAGCGACACGCCTATGGGGTAAACACACCTTTTCAACACACTACATCTATACCCGCGACCGTTCCTATCACGTGGATGAGCAGGATGGTATTTCTAACTCGGTATCGTACGCCAACTGCCTGGAATCGCAATTGTAGAACGCGGCGACGCTCTATTAAAGTATTCTAACTAGGAAGTTAAAATGTGCATTGAAAAAGATACCAAAAAGTAAGTAATATTAGGTCGTGTTAAAGTGATCTATGGTCAAAAACAGGGATCCCTGACTCACATGAGCTATACCGGGTGGCAGCCACGAAATGTAGTCTCGCAAATGGCTGGGACAGTGAAAAGCTGTAAGTACTGGGGAGGAGAGGGGGGGGGGTACAAATTTTGAGCGAACGTTGCCACAGGAATAAAGAAATTTCCCATATCACATAGATCGTTCATTTCTGAAAAGGATTTATCGTGAAGACTTGGTGAGGAACATATCGATACCTATCTTCACAATAACTAAAACCTCAACTGAAGCATCCAGTGTTTGTTCTACGATTACATTTCAGCCCAACCTGACTGAATGGAGGAATTCACGAATATTTCAAAAAAAAATCCGCACCTGTGTACCTTGCCCCCGTCCCCTTGCCCCCCGAAAAATCGCTATCAACCAAGATAGGCGAAAAAGTAATGTGAGCCCCATTATTAAAAGTCTCAAACCTCCAAAAGGTCATTGAAAAAATGTGGGACGAAAGCTCTCCTGTGTGGGCCGCGAGCCTCTAGTGAAATGTCGGTGGGCCGCTTCTTTGACACCGCTGTTCTACAGCGTCAACAAAGACCACCCTTCACTATTAGAAGATGCTTTCTAATCCTGTAAAGACGCAAACGAGCATGAATGGCACGTGGCGATGGCCTTCCTGAAGTTTTAACGCCCAGGTTTTCAACGTCGTCGTAGACATCGTGTGCTCCTGTCTCGTCAATCACTCGCCGTTAAAAAAGGTTCACATTGCACTCAGAATGAATCAATGTATCTAGCGAGCAAGACTCGAGAGCGTCTCCTGCCGAACATTGGCCCAATATAGCGTTAAAGCCCATCCATGTCTGATAGTTTATTATTTTATTTTTTTATCTTTTTCTCTACTGGCGACCCTTTTTGTCTACAGAAACAGAAAATGGTAGTGGCGCACGAAGGTATAGCAATGTTATAGAAGTCCTCGCAGTTCATAAAATTGTAATAATCTAGATTGAAATGCTCTAACGTTATATTTAACAATGATGAAACAACTCGGAAACGCGAAGTGTGAGATTTTCCTATACGCCACTCAGCGGCATTTTCATTTTCCGTGAGTGTGAGGAAGTTTCTCCTTCAACTGTTATATAAACAAGACTACTATCCAAGTCCCCTAATGCTATATACATCCGACTCTCTTCAGTCACAGGTGACACAAATTCTTTCATAGAACGAACAGCAATTAGGTTGTAATTCTTAATACCCTAATAGCCTCACTTATTAATTTTTCTTCAAACTGAATAACCTACTATCTGTGAAGCCAGAAGGCTGAAGAATCCTCATTTTCAGTGGCGAGTGAGGCCTAAAAAAGGAGAGGAATCTTTGAGGCATCGAGGTAAACGCGAAAGCCGAAGAATGACTGCTGACGGAGAGTTCAGGGTCACCATATATACGCGCGGCTGGATGTTTCCGACGTGCTGCCAGCCAGTGCGCATCTCTCTCTTTCAGTCTGTTCTGCGGAGCGACGCGTGAAGTTCGCTTTTTTTCCTCCTCCGACCTTCCAGAGGATAGCGAACAAAGTGCAACTGCGCGTGTGCACACAAAGGCTTTAAGAACTGCTCACGCCGCTGCATGCTGTGTAGAATCTGCTGACTTTCGCGGCTGACAGCATGCGACAATCTGAAGGGCACGGAGGAAAAAAGAAAAAAAATAGAAAAAACATCTCCATGAATAGTTGGGAAGCCAGCTGTGCTGTGTCTAGCGACTTTGACGTCGACGCTCACGTTAAACACGCTGTTCGCCCACGTAAGCGGTTTTTTCCTTCTTTTTCTGAGGAAAGATGAGGACGATTGCAGGATTTAATTGATGTCATTCGACAGATGATAATCTAAAGCGTAAAATAAGCGATACCTGTGCCGTTTGGTTATTATAGACACTAGAGAGGAAAAATCAAGTGTTGGTTTACTTTAGTGAAAAAAAAAGCGATTGCTCATAGTGCTGACCGTACTCTAACTGTTCAAGGTAAGAATAATAATAGTTCGTGGTCTTACGTGACAAAACTACCGAAGTAATTATGGGGCACTCCATAGCAGAAGACTGTAAATTAATTCCCAGAAACACGCTTTCCACGGCATACGTAACTAACCTTTACACCACACAGACAAATATCTATGTACTATTACACCACTCAGAATAAATATTAGGAAGTGCATCGGATTTATGCCGCGTCGCTGCACTCCTCTGTTGCTTACCAATAAGGAGTTAGCTAAATCTGCTCAACCGCGACCCCTGACTTATAGTAAACAGATTGTTTATTAATATGAATTATTCATTTGATTTATAAATATTTATATCACTACTGTGCTTCACTTTTAATGATATTTCTGCAAAAATAAGTTTATGTCTTTATACCGTGAAAATCAACCGACTGTATGATATCGAGGCACGCTTACTCAACGAAGGGAAAATATATTAATAAGTCATGCAATCGTGTGTTGGTTCTGAAACCCAGTCATATACGTAATCACCGCAATACTTCAGAATCGAGTCTTCCTTTTAATGAGCCTCTCCACGTAGACTGCAACGACTGTTCGCGCATAATTTTGTACCACTTCATTTCGAACCAGTGATATAATTTTTTGTTCTGTTCGAGTTCGGTTCCGATTTAGGCACATACCGAAAAAAAAGCATGTTTGATTTTGAGTTCAGTGCCAGCCAAAATTGCGGTTTGGGTGTGGTTATAAGTTTGGATTCAATTCTACGACCCAAGTTCGACTACTCATGCTATACGTGATGGCACATATTTTTTAGAGTTATTGCTAGGCGTAAACATGATGTTCACCTACTATCAAACTCCTACTTTATAAAACAATGTGGCCCTTTTGTTACCCAGTGCCTATTGCCCGCCTAAGGCAAGTGTGACAACAAATGACCTGGGAAAGTGGGAAATATGATGTACCTTTCCGAATGTGCTGACAAAGCGCGTACATTAATAAGAGCAAAGCTGCTGCCTTTAATAATGGCATAGCTTGCAAACAAAAGGTGACGTTAATATTTTGCAGGCATTTTTGGTAATGACTTGATATTGTGTTCTTGTGAGAATATTTATTCATTTATATTGTATTGCTTAATTAGGCTGATTGATTCAGTCATGGTTAATTTCACAACTTGTGGAGAAAGAGGGTGTTCTTTCGGAGAAATCGTTGCTTGGTGAACTTCAACCCCCTCCCGACTTACTCTTTTTTTTAATTCTTTTGTAATAGAAGTAACAACAACGCAAATTATATAGAGCAGAAAAGAAAGCGATAATCCAAACGACGAGAAAAAAAGATTGGCTGAAGTTTACTTCTCGTAAGCCCAATTATCACGAACAAAGTATATGATTGGCTTTGTTTCGCAAAGACTGTGTACACAGTGATTTGTTTCATTAATGTTCGACATTATGGCGAATCTGATGGCGAAACCACCCAGAGATCAAAATTTAGTTGTGGGTCCGCGTTTGTGAAAGAGTCTCCAGGGGATGCTAACGGAGTTACAAGCGTCTCATAATAGAAACAAGGTCTTCGTTACTTTCACTTGTCTGGTCATGTTTCCACCTCCTCATCACGCGAGACAATACAGCAGAGAGCAAGCACTTTTGATAGTCGGCCAACAGGTTTTTGTTGAACCAAGTGACAACGTCTGTTGCTGGAGTATTCAACTATTTGAACAGGTGACGTTTGTTGCAAGAGAGCGTCTGTTGGCGGGTTTTTACTTCCACCTATATAGTCACGTAGTACCGCAGCAGTGATGCCTCGAGCGAACGCAGCTGCGACGCCTTCCAGCAGTAAATCACATGGCATGACGTGATGCTTGCTACACACAGAATCCGGCGGCTCAAGGCCAATGTGACGTGATGAATCACTTTAGGAGACAAGGAGTAGTCGCACTGTCGCTCTATCATTTGAAGAGTGCCCCGCCATGGTGGTCTAGTGGCTAAGGTACTCGGCTGCTGACCCGTGGGTCACGAGATTGAATCCCGGCTGCAGCGGCTGCATTTTCGATGCAGGTGAAAATGCTGTCCCGTGTGCTCTGATTTAGGTGCACGTTAAAGAAATGCAGGTGGTCGACATTTCTGTAGCCCTCCACTACGGCGTCTCTCGTAATCATAGGGTGGTTTTGAGACGCTAAACCCCACAAATCAATCCAGTATCTAAAGACTACGTATAACTCATAACCATACTCGCTTAAAGGACTGTCTACCACTAGGAAAAATCATTCTGATTGTGGCGCAACTGAAAAGATTGTTCCTCACATAGGCGACAACAAGCATGCTTCGTGCCAAAAAAAAAAAGAATTATAATTTCAAATTGATGTTGAAAGTCGATGTTGAATGATGTTGAATGTAGATGTCGAGTGATGTTGAATGTAGTCAATCTTGACACTGTATTGGTAGGACCAGAAATCCGCGCCAGAAAACTTATTTTATGTAAAAACATACGGTTATAACTTTAAATTGTATTTTATGCACTTGAGGCTGCTTTAGGTTGCGCAAGAGTCTAATTTTTGCTTTTTTTTTTTCTGGCGCGTTGAAATAGCCGCTTGGTGGCGCTGTCGGCGGTGTTTTCGCTTGCCTGCATGTCTGCCTGCGAACGGCGAAAAACGCGAGCATTGCGCCCGCCGCCGCTCTTGAGAACAAGGAAAATGTGTGTGCCTGCCTAAAACAACCACTAAGGTGTTGGTTCTATTAATAAACAAAACTTCATGAAGCCTGTAAAAAGCACGCGCGATTTCAGTTTTCTATTTTCACTGGCACTGGTCAATGATGTACTCGCTGGAAGGAGACAGAACGCAGACAGAAAAAATTTGTTTTGAAAATTTTTACGCACTTTCTGGCGAAACCGCTGCAAGGTTAGACACCTCACATAATGCGCTTTTTATTGCGCCACAAAACAGGAGAACAATGAAGGACCGCATTCAGTCCCTTCAAGTATTATTCATAAAGAAAAGGGGCAAGTATAGAAACGAAAACACGTGTCTCGCGTAACATTCGACTTCTTTTACACGCCAATATAACTGTGACATTGAGAACATAGACTCGACGAACACGGATCACATAAGTGTTGCGTAAAATGTGCTAATATGTTCGCATATTATCACATGGGCATCGCTAATAAAATAACTATTAGTACCTTAGCCATACATCTTCGCGCTCGGCACTCTCACGCAGAGTCACACAAAAAATCCCCACTCCACGCTTCGCCATTTGAACGGCGACTTTATGTAGTTTGGTAACCTTGATGTTATCAGGTGTTCAATCACACTATTGACACATGTGTCAGACGGTGGAAATAGTAACGTAAGCTCGCCAGCTAATGTACCACGCAGTACTCAGGCGCCAACCATTCATCAGGCCGTTCCGTATGCTTCACTATCGGAAAATGCCCCGTGTCACCACCACGCAGTACTAGTGACCACAGAAAATTTCCGTGACGCGCGTCTGGGATTTTTCCACAAAGGGCCCGTAAAGAGGCTCCGACTTTTTTTTTACACCCCCCATAAAAGCTGGGCAATTCGCAGATTAGACCGCAGTGATGACGTTTTCTGAATATTACACTGCTGCGCGCCGCGCAGAGCCTCTATTTCGAAAAACATTCCCGCGTATTTTTTTCTACGCCTGACCAACCACGTGGCACGCACAGTGACGTCAACTCGGTGATCGGCGACGTGAGGTAGCACCCAGCTCACCGATTGGTCTAAATAAGGTGTGGAAAAACAGTAGTGAAGTCAACGTTAGTTCCTGTTCCCACTCACAGTAATGAAACTGCTCCTTGTTTCTTGGCCCTGCGGTGAAAGAATCAGCCTCGCAGTTGTCGCGTGCACGTGCACACTCCTCGCTCAACTACAGCGCCTGTGCGCACGTACGAACGTACTTCGCCCTTGACATGAGCAACTATGGTTGATTGATTTGTGGGGTTTAACGTCCCAAAACCACCATTTGATTATGAGAGACGCCGTAGTGGAGGGCTCCGGAAATTTTGACCACCTGGGGTTCTTTAACGTGCGTGCAACTATGGTAAAAAGCGTTGCTCTGTCGTCGGCTGCAAATGATTGATTGATATGTGGGGCTTAACGTCCCAAAACCACCATATGATTATGAGGGACGCCGTAGTGGAGGGCTCCGGAAATTTTGCCACCTGGGGTTCTTTAACGTGCACCCGAATCTGAGCACACGGGCCTACAACATTTCCGCCTCCATCGGAAATGCAGCCGCCACAGCCGGGATTCGAACCCGCGACCTGCGGGTCAGCAGCCGAGTACCTTAGCCACTAGACCACCGCGGCGGGGCGTCGGCTGCAAATCGGGCGACTGGGCAGCGGAGAAGCATCGGTACCATTTGCCTCAAGATGGGGCCCAGCGCGCTGCATGGCTGAAGCGAATCGGCCATCCAGCGACATACGTCGGGGACCTGATCGTTTGTGGTCGACACTTCGCACCTGACGCTTACACGGTTGACCCACGGCTGATGCGGCAAACGGTTAACAAACAACCACGCTTCGCAGCAAGCGGAAGTGCGTTGCGACTAATCGAGTTCGCCGATGACGTCAATCGCTGATGCGATGTCAGCGATAGACGCCCCCTTCTCTCTTCATGGAAGGGAGAAGGGGGCGAGGCCACGCGAAAATTTGAAACCAGCTTAGACCGATGTTCTAACCCCTGTAACTTTCTTATATTGCACATATTCGCAAAATTCATGTGGCAGCATGTTTGCAAAAAAAACTGTACATTTATCGCTTTTTAAAAGTTTTCGGACCTAAGAGCTGTTT